GGCCCGGCTGGCATCGGGAATAGGGTCGGTGGTGCCCCAGAGCCACGTGCGGTGCCCCCGCGTGCAGCCTCTGGAGCAGGGGTAGGGAGGGACCTGGTGTGGCATACGCTAAAATAAGTTACTGAGCAAAAATAAGTTGAGTAGTCATTTTACTGTTTGCAGTGTGCCCAGGGGTTTTAATATGCACTTACTCTGACACCCCTCCCTCTCCAGCTATGAAACGATTTGTAAGGTTGCCAAATACTCTTCACCTGTTCATTTTGACATCCTTTTTTTTTTTTTTCTTCCCTAAATTTTGGTTGCTGCACCTCTGTGTCTAGGCCAGAGCCAGCTGTGCCAAATGTTGATTTGGAGAACACTCAGGCAGCTGAGTTGTGAATACTTGAAAATTGGAACTAGAAACTGCTGACACACTGACTTGCTGAAATGGATTTTGTTCTTCATTTTATTCTTTCACTCCTCATCTGCAATGGTCTTATGACCACTCTTATTGTTTTGTTTCATTAACAAGTGGTGTCAGAAGTCTTGAGTCATACAAGGTCAGCTATAACACGTTGCTCTTGAGAAGGCTTCCTCTGCACGTTATTCTGAAATACTTAATTTTTAGTCCTTGACTCAGCTAAGAATCCCATTCTATCAGTTTTCTCTGGGATGAAAAAGTATTTATGGTTAATATTCTTAAGAGCATATTTGAAAGTTATAGTGGAAGTTGTGGTGGTTACAGATACTTGCGTGTAGTAAAATCCTTTTTGATCCCTCTCGGCAAACTCAGTTGTGGAATTTCTGTAAAGATTCCTACAAGGATTCTTGTGTTCCCGACTTGCACAGAACTTGAGCAGTTACATCTGCCAGACATCTGAGGCTCCAGGATGTGAGGATAACAATGATTTTTAGTATAGCAGTTAATTTCAACAACATCGGCAGCAACAAAAACATTCTTTTTCAAGCTGGAGTTCTGCCCGCTCTCGTTCTTGGGGGACTCCGTGGGCTGTCCTGACTTTGTGCCATCGTGGCTGCAGATGAAGCCTTAGGTGGGTCAGTTGTTGCGGGAGATGTAAGGCTTTCCCCCCTCGGGAAGGAGGATGGGTGAGTCAGAGGAGGAGCGAGGATAGCGTCTTCCTGGAGGAGCGGGTGCAGTAGGAGGGAGTCCCTCTCCTCGGTCCACAGCTGCAGTGTATTTGCTGAGCTGGGTACAGTATGCTCTTCCCGTCTCTCGGTTGGGGCTTCAGGGCTTCTCTTGGGGCATTGTAGCTGGGGTCCTCAAAAGCAATAGGTCTCTGGCCAGAGATTAAAAAAAAAGTTGAGGCAGATGAGGTGGTTCAGTCTGGACTGTCCTGGGCTTCCAGCTTCACTTGAATTGCACTCTCAGGATTCACTTCAGAACCGTAAGGCCTAGAAATGAGCTTGAGAAGCAAAAAGGAAAGCTGAGTGTACAGCATAATGTCAGGGTTTGATGAGTTGGAGCCCTCAGCAAGTGCTGTACTGCTTGGGTCTCAAGCTAGTACTGGGTCTCCCAGGGACTCTGAAATACTGCCGTTTCTTAGTGGGCTGGAGGCCAGTTGCCAGTGGTGGTGGAAGGGTGCTTGCAGGGATGCGTTTCTTCCCAGTTTTGTCACTTTTCCAAAGCTAAAGAGCACGTGTAGGGAGGGTTGCTATTTTGAGATGAAGTGAGGAGGTGCAACTTCCAACTGGACTTGCACATGTCCTTTTGGAAAACGGCTTTTTTTTTTTTTTTTTTCCGCTTTACTAGAGATGGCGTTTGGGAGGAGGGTGGGAAGGAGGGCTGCTGGTGTTGCAGGCCTGGGAGCTGATGGAGATGATAGGAGTTGGCCCTTGTTCACAATATGGATTCTGAACTTCAACAAATCTTGTAGCAAAGGCAGGGGATCCCTCTGTCTTGAAGCATCCTGGGAATTAATTTTTTTCCTGTGTGTGACCTGGAAATAGTAGCTGAGGAAATAGCTCTCCAGCTTGCCAGTGATCTTTAGTACAGTGCATTTTCCTTACATAGTATCTGTATATACTTTTGCTTTGTTTTGTTATCTATATATCACCCTGTTGTATGTGAGAATCAGTAGCTGCTGGCACTTTCTGCTTAACCCTTCTTGCCATGGCTTCCAGCAAATAAGCATGTGCTTTTCTATGTCAGAGACTAGACGTTTTCCTATTTTAAAATGTCTCCTTGAGGAAACTGGATATGTTTGGGGCTGATTACAGCTTTCTGCAATCAGAAGTTTAACATTCCACATTCTAATTCTTGCCTTTTGTTGTTTTTGGCTTTCTTCTAGGCTACGGAGAGCTAAATGGTAACGCAGGAGAAAGAGAAGTGTCATTAAAGGGCCTGTGCTCTGATGAAACTACCACTCCAGGATCCAGGGTACCCAATGGCAGCCAGCAGCTCGTAGACACTAACGTGACCCCAAAGCAGACTGTGAAGGCCAGTGCTTTGGGGAAAGCTGGAATCAAAACCAAGAACTTCATTCAGAAAAATAGCATGGACAAAAAGAATGAGAAGTCCTATGAAAATAAACTTAGAGAAAGCCAGTCCTCAGACAAGCCAGAGGGAGTGTCTATTCCAAACGGTGTGGTAACCAATAATTCTAGCTATATCACAAATGGCTATGTAGGCAAAGGGGCCGATAACGATGGTAGTGGCTCCGAGAGTGGATATACTACACCTAAAAAACGGAAAGGCAGGCGCAACAGTGCCAAGGGTTGTGAGAACTTGAATCTAGTACAGGACAAAATAATGCAACAGGAGGTCAGTGCACCAACCTTAAAACAGGAACTTGAGAGTTTCAAGCCTGATTATAGTGAACAAAAGGGGAACCGAATTGAAAATACTAAGCCTGTTTGGAAATACGAGGCTGGGGCTGGTGGAGCAGGTCGGGGAAAGCCTGGGCTTGGGGATGTACAGCGGAAAAACTCTGATGCCAAACCTGGGATTAGCAGCAAGAAGTTTGATGACCGGCCCAAAGGGAAGCATGCATCATCGGCTACATCTAAAGAGGACTCATGGACCTTATTTAAACCACCCCCAGTTTTTCCAGTGGACAATAGCAGTGCTAAAATTGTTCCCAAAATAAGTTATGCAAGTAAAGTTAAAGAAAACCTCAACAAAGCAGCTCAAACCCCATCCACGTCGTCTTCGTCATCTTCGTCATCTGCCGGGGAAACTCAGGCCCAAACATCAAGTCGACTGTCCCAAGTCCCCATGTCTGCTATGAAGTCTGTTACTTCTGCTAGCTTCTCGAATGGGCCAATTCTAGCAGGGACTGATGGAAGCGTGTATTCTCCAGGGACCCAGCCACTGCTCTCAACTGCTGCTAGTACTGTACCATCAACCTCCTCTGAGTCAGTACCCCAGGACATGAGTACAACTTCAACAGCTCTCGAACAAAAGAAATCTAGCCTTTTTATCTACCCTTCAAATATGCAAACTGTGCTTCTGGGTACAGCGCAAGTTGATTTCCCATCGCAGACGAATCAGCAGAACCTGGGAGATATCTTCCAGAATCAGTGGGGCTTGTCTTTCATAAATGAGCCCAGCGCTGGCCCTGAAACTGTTACGGGGAAATCTGCAGATAATCAGTTAATGGAAGTGACATTTCAAGGGGAATATCCTGCCACTTTGGTTTCACAGTGTGCTGAAATCATTCCCTCAGGAACTGAACAACCTGTGTTTCCTAAGGCTTATGAGCTGGATAAACGGACTAGCCCTCAAATTCTTAGTGCTATTCTTAAGCCTGGGACTGCTGTTGAGGGTGGTGTCTTAGCTTTGGAGTCGCATCACACAGGTGACCTACAAAAGGCAGACACCGGTAGCCAAGGTGCTTTAGTGTTTCTGTCAAAAGACTATGAAATAGAGAATCCTCTGGCCTCTCCTACGAACAATTTGCTAGCCTCCGCCAAAGAACAGAGGTACCAGAGAGGCCTAGAAAGGAAAGATAGCTGGGGTTCTTTTGACCTGAGGGCTGCTATTATATATCACACTAAAGGTAATGGCTTAACTTGCTGCCTAAGGGCATTCTCTTCTCTTTTTTATTTTATTTTTAAGTGCTATATTCTAACATGATCTATTCCTTTTAGCAATTCTGATTTGTTTTAAAAATGAGCTTTTTTGCTTGCATATCTCTAATGGCAATAACGGTTTGGGAAAGTTATTCAAACAGTTGTTTAATTAATGTTAAGAGGTATTTGTTTCCCTATTCCTATGGGCAAGTGTAAGTGATGTTGATAGGGATAATAGTTAGCTAGTGTGTTTTGCATTTTAATTCCTATGGAACGAGCAGGTCCTCCTAAGCGTCTCAGCATTGGAAGGAGTTAAAAATGTAGGTTCACCTGCTCTGTTCCAGCTTTACCAGGTGATATTCTGTCACTGAAAAGGCTTCATAGTACATGCTCACACCTCTGCCATCAAAGTGTTGCAGCTTCTCCCCTGGGCAGATCAGGCCATGAAATCATGGCTTTGAAGGAAGAAAAAGAAATATTCCTGCAGCTTTTCATGGTGTGACTATTTTTTTTAAGCCGACTCCACATACGCACTTTTCCCCTGCCCTTCTTGAGTATTATGGCAACGGCAAGACAAATCTTTGCTTATCAACTCTTCTGTAAGCTGCAGATTGAATTCTCTTGCCTTTGTAGGCCAAATCTTTCAGGTGATTTTATTGCTTTCATGGAGTCCTTTGTAGTCCAGCTCCTTTTTTTCCTGGTTTTTTTGAGACTGAAATGACTCAAACATGATATGGATGCTTTAAACTGGGAACGAAGAGAAGGAAGCCTGAGGGACGCCTTGCTTTCTGCTTTAGCCTCAGCCCCAGAAGCTCTGAGCTCTTGTGGCAGTTCTTGGCTTTTGGTCCTGGCTCAGTGTTAAGGGGAGCCTGGAAGCGTGTTCCCTTTTGGCACAATGTTACTTACGTACCCTTGACAAACACAGGGGCAGTCCCTTTTTTATTCGCCTCCCCCTTCCCTCTCCCTGCATCCCCCTACCTGAAGGGAAAAAGGTGATCATCCATTTTTTGTTTACTGTTCCACATACATACGTGGATAATGTCTTGCTCCTCTCTGCAGAGGGATTGGTATTTGGATGGTGTTGGCAAATTCGGTGTGTTTTGACCCACTGCAGAGTTCTTGAATTACCTGTTCACAAACTCTTTGTATAGCATACAGAAACTTAGATGCCTTCCTTTAGTAATAGTAATGCCAGTCATTTAAAAATAACAACTCCAAATATCTTTTCCAGGTCATCACACTCTCAATATGTTAACATTTTAAGCTCTAGTATTCTTGAGAACAGCGTTCATCAATTGATTTTATCTGGGTCTTCGTCCTCTACCCTCTGCTCAGTCTACTCCAGTTTAAAGCAAGCTTTCTGTTCTCATTTCTTATGTCTGCCTGCAGCCTAAATCCCAGTTTCTCATCAAAAAATGGGGGTACCAGAAAGTATAGCATGGTGTAGAAGGGAGGTCCTAGGCAATCCTTTTCTTAAGTTTCCAAATTTTCCCAACACTTAGGTTTGTCTTTTTGGTTTTGTCAGCCTGAACTTTCTTGTAGAAAAGGAGCTCTGTACAGCCGCAGCAAGACTCATCAGCTCTCCCTTTCTCTCGCTAGCTGTGTGAAAGACAGACCCCGGTAAAACAATAGTAACAACAGGAAAATAAAGAACACTCCCTTCCCATGTCCTCTTAAGGAGGTGTTAACTTCAAAGTCTGGGTGCTTAGTTCTTCTAAACACGGGAGTTAATTACATTCAATGGCAAGAATGGACACCTAAAGCACTCTTTAAAATACTGTTTTCTGCTCTTTCCTTGCCTCTGCATGTGAATGCTCTTGCTTTGAGCATCCAGAGCAAGCACTCTTGTGATGCCCTGGGGAAATGGGTTCCTGCCCCAACACTCCTCTGTGCCGATTTATTTTTAAAACTGTATTTGTGCCAACTTCGAGGTGTTACTTACGGGTGAAAGATGATGGATGTTTCTAATCAGTGTTGTCATTAATGCAGTGATAGGGGTGCTCCAAAGAGCTTGAGCTTGTCTTTCTCCTACTTAGCCTTCAGGTGCTATTGCTGGTTTACAAAGCAGGAGATCAATCTGGGTCTTCGTATGTCTTCTGTGATGGTGTTGGCTGTTGCATTTCTGTGTGTGTTCAGGTCCATTGGGGTGAGTTGGGTTAAAGGGTGTTGGGAGGAACGGCACTTTCCTCTGCCCCATGCAGGTGGAAAATGCTGTCTCCCCCCGTGATCCTGCAGCCAGAGCCCCGCGGGTGAGCTCCTGTGCCATGGCGTGCTGCAAAATGTCTAGAAAACGGAGCTGCCAGGGTGTGTTTGCAGGACAGCAGTGCAGTGGTTAATTCCCACACCATTCTCTTCGTTTATCTTGGGCTGTTTTCCTGAGGTCCTACTCCTGGCCAACCAGTTCCTTTGCAATAGGAAAGGAACGATTTCACTCGCTTATTTTTCACAAGCTGCCTTCCCCTCCTCCCCGCTTGGGAGAGTGTGTGGGTTTGCCTGGGCCAGCGTTAGGGTGTCCTGGGCAGCTGGGTCCTCAGATTGTTTGGTTTTGATTTCGAGAGGAGGGTGAACTTCTCCCTCTTCAGATTGATCTGTTTGCTATTGAGCAAAGTCTCGATAGTTTGATCTTCAAATCTGCCCTGCCTCTGGGGTTATGGACACAAAGAGAAACGATTGTGGGGCAAGGACAGGGGTGAGCATGGAGCACTGCTGGGGTCCCTACCCTGAGCTCCTCCATGTGCAGTAGTTCAGTGCAAGCTACCCGTGGTGCAAGGATGAAGCTCTGGGTGTTGCAGTGAGGAATGCACTCTAGCATGAGCGCTTGCAGTGCTTCGACCTGTCACAAGCTTGCACCCTTGTTTGCACTGTTTGTGTCTGTAGCTGCGATCAGGTTATGTGGCTCCTCATCTTGGACTGTAAATAGGCTGTGGGAAAGCCTCCAGCTTACTCAGTAGCTTTGTTCCAGTAAATCAGGCTTTCCTGTGCACGGTTTGCCTGGCGACTGCAAGGGGCATTACAGATTGTAATTGCTTCACAGCTTCCCTGGGAAAGGATGGATGGAGGAGGTAACGCACAGGGTGGGCTGGCTCTGGTACAGTAATCCTGCTTAAACTACCGCAGCACTGTGCGTGCTGGCAAGGCTGTGCTGGGGTGTAAGGCTGGGTGGCTGCAGAGCGGAGCGAGGTCCTGGTCGAGGAAGCTGTGCTCGTTTGCATGTGCCTAGATTGGTTTTTCTCCAGAAGTCAGGGCACGGGGAGCGGGCTGGCAAGGCTGATGACGCACCCTCCTGTTCTTCTCTTGGATGCTTTTCGTGCTGGTTTCCTCTGTGCCCCTGCTCTGCCTTGCTTTTTTTTTTTTTTAATTTTTGAAGGGCAGAAAGACTCCCTTGATCATGGGATCTACTTGACTGTAAAACATGATCATTCAACGTGGCTGCCTTCACGTGCCGCTTGGTGTTTGTGGCGGTGTCTTGAAACACTCGCGGGTGACATACCTGATTTAACAAGGTAGATCTGATTTAGTTGAGCACTGCTGGGCCTACTGTTTGTGTGGTTGGAGATGGGACGGTAGCTTAGTGTGGGAGACTGGAAGGACCAGGAAGGAGTGATGCTCTTGCTTAGGGACATTGTCTCTATCCAGGTTAGAACTGAACCTCTACCTCAGTGTGGCATTACCTGAATCCTCACCTTTTTGAGGTAAAACTGGTCCTCGCAGATTTTTTTGGTCCTTCAGAAGAGGAGGCTGGGTGTAGCTCAGCTTTACTTCTATTGAAATCAGTATCTTCTTACTGCTTTAATCCTCCTTTTAAAGACAGCTGGACAAAACGTTTCATATCAGAATAATTGTCAATGCTTTGCAGAATTGCATTGTGTTTGGGTAGTCGCAGTCTTCCAGGCCAGGCTGTCTGACACTAACACTGGGCTCTATATGGCAAGCTTTGTGGTGGGAAGCTCAGTAGTTTGCTTGTCCTTAGCTAAAAAGCAAATAATTGAGGTCTCCAGTTCAGCCGCACAGTGACAAAGACCACATAGGTGAAGGAGAGGAAACTGCAGTGTTTCCCTCTTCTGTCTTGCCCCTAAGTTTCTGCCTGTGCCACTGCTTTGTTCCTTCTCGGTGTCTCGGTTGCGCCAGCAACTCTGCTCGCGTGAAGCAGCAGAAGAGCAGCCTGGAAAATAGAGCAAGGCAGCGTGGGCCAGCCAGGAGTGGCATTCGCCGGAATGGTGAACTGGGTCAGAAGAAATAGCAGAGCTGTGAATTCAGCAATTTTCATCCTTTACATCAGGAGAGGAAAAAAAAAAAGCCTTGGTGGGAAGGGGTTAGATCTCAGTCTGTTGCTTATGGTCTTGTGGGGCAAAAGCTGATTTAATTCTCCTTCAAGTCTCTGCTTTTTCCAGTTGTCAGGATGAGTACAGTGTATGCGGTACAGCGATGAGTCTCCACAGCATTGAATTTTTAGTCTTTGCTTTGTTTCCGGGGCAATCCCCTAACTTAATCGTTGTGTCCTGCAGACAGAAACAGAAAAATCAGACGAGGATGGTCCCTCTGTTTTGTTTTTTTTTTTTTTAGTGCTTCATTTTAGGGGCAGTTGTCACTTTATATGTTAGATTTATAAGAACAAAGAACTAGTACCGTGGCATTGTGCAGACACTTCTGTTTGCAGGGGCAGCCTCTCTAGCAAGGAAAATGTGTGTAAAAGTGCCTGTCTTAACAAGTTATCACAGAAAGACTTCTTTTCTCTCCAAGGTTATGTACCAGTCCTGCTATAAAGTTTATAGACCTATGAGGAATCTCACTGCAATTCACCAGTGTGTGCCTTAGTCTGTTCCTGACATCAAAGCCTTCTTCCACTGAACCTTTGTTTCAGTGATAGTTCCCAGAAAAAATGGTTCCTCTCCCTGGAGCTCGTTAGGTGGATGTGGCTGGGGCTGTCGGCAATTCCTCAGCAAACCGCGAGCCGGAGGGCTGTGGAGAGGCTGGCTAATTGTAAAAAATCCTGGAAAACGTGGGGTTGGAAGGGGCACAGGAGGTGACCTAGTTCTGCCCCTGGCTCAGAGCAGGGCTGGCTTGGACGCCAGGTTGTGCAAGGGTTTGTTGATGGCATTTTTTCCAGCTGGGTTGGAGTCTGCCGAGAAGGAAGCATGCCATTTCCCCGGTCACGTGTCCTTTTCTGGGAATGGTGGCCCCTGTCTGTTGGTCAGGTCTTGACCACATTCCACTTTGGAAAGCGGCAGTATTAGGTTTTGGGTCAGTATCTGAGAGAGGTGGACTCAGACTCATGGTGAAGATACCACTTTCCCATGCAGGGATGAGTGATTGTAAGAGTCATTGCTTGAACTCGCCCTGGAGGTTTTATCCAGGGAAAGCAGGCTCAAGAAAAGAGCTTGAGCCCAAGGAAGGAGGGCTGAAAGCAGGTTTGGGGCCTTTTACATGACAAGCTCGTGAGGGCTGCCTTTTTTTCCACCCTGTATCCTTGTGCTTACTGCTCTGCTTAGCTGGAGCCAGAGGTTGTGCCGCGGTGGCTCTGCTGAGCTGCCTGTCCACCAAGTCTGTCCAATCACCGGGAGGAAAACTCACTCTAATGTATTACCAGGTAAAGTAGAATAAATCGTAAAATTCCATCTTAAGATTGAAGGAAAACCTTTTTTTTTCCTAGTTTTGTGTTGCAGTTAGCCCAAGACTTCCCCCACACTCCCCCACCCCCCGTGAAGTTGTTTCAGTTGGTAAATGTGCTTGACCTGTGCTATCCTGTGTCCATGTGCTGCTGGCCAGGTAGAGGGTAGGACCTTGCTCTTGGTCTTCTCGTGGCAGACGATACTCAGTAACAGTTGATACCACATCCAGTTTGCCGATGGTCTTTGGTTTTGTAGCTTTGTCAGGCTGAGCATCTGCCAGCCAACGTGTCCAGGTGTTTGGGATTTACAGGACACTTTATACCACCCTCTCTCCTACCTCTCTTTCTGAAGAAGGAGAAGGAAGATTGCAGTCTGAAAAGGTTGGGGAGTTTGGGTGTTGGTTTGTTAGGGGTTTTTTTAAACAGAATTTTGACAACTTAAAAGGTTTTTGGTGTGTTTTTGATAGTATCCCACTGTCTATCTTATTGTCAGGCACATCTTAGTACAAGCAGTTCACATTCTTGTGGTGTCCAATGAAGTTGGGACCAAACAGAAGTGCAAAAGAAAGCATGATCTTTTGCATGGAGATACAGTAGCGGGCAGCGCTTCAGCCTCTGCCTTGTATTTGATGCTCAAACATTGCTATAATGTGGAGGAACCAACAACGTCAGAGTAGTTTTCTGTCCCCTGCCTTTGGGGAAAGCTGTGAAAATAGGTGATGTTCTTTAGCTGTTAGGAAATGATGCATCTAACTTCACTGAATGGAAAACTAGCTCTGCTGGAGATAATTTTAGTAGCTGGTTCATTTTACTTCTGGGGAATCTGCATTTGGCGGGTGAGGGAGGTAGTCCCTTGCTAGGTTGCTTATATTGCTGGGGGTGTTAGAGGCTGGTTACTATTCCCAAAGAGCTTAGGGTTCCCCCGATGAAGGTGCAAAGTATTGCTGTTATTGTCGTGACACAAAAATAACAGACCTTGTAAAATTTTGTCGGGGTCTTCCTTACAAAAGACTTAATTGTGCGGAGAGGCCTGGCAATATTTATTTGCATGCAATTTCCTGCCCCGGGGAGCTTGAGGTTGTAGTGGGCAAAGGACAGATGAAGGGTTGGAGAAGGGATGCGAACATACAAGCGATTGATCGAGGTGACACGTTGCACACATCGTGCTGAGGCCATGAGTTTTGTAGGTTTTTCTTCTTCCTTCCCCATGCTGGTTAGTTTACTTATTGCCTTGTTTTGTGCTTTACTGCACATACCGTGTAGCTTAATAATCCACTGCCATTCTCCGTTCCTAGCCCCTACCAAGGTCCTGTCACCCTCCTTTCTGGCAGAAAGGAGACTTGAAAGATTGTTCTTGCAGGTTGTGTTCCTACTAAAAGCTCCTTTTCCATAATTTTGTCTCTTAAACTTGGGCGCAGGGTACAGTTACTGTCTTTATAAATATTCTAGCTCACAAAATTCTGACTTTATAGTGGCTAAATGTAGTTATGTTGAATAGGTCTCTAAAGATGTGACTTAATTTTGGGGATATTTTAAAGGGAAGAGCCTTCTGTTTCTTAATGTGAATGAAAAGAGCATTTAACTTTGCTGTTATTTCTTAGGTAAACAAAAGCATGTGCTCTTCCAGTGAGAATTGGGGAGGGTTTGTTCGTCTTTAGCCTACAAGTGCATTGTAGAGGTAAATTGGGGAAAGAGCTGCAAGCCAAGCAGGCAGCTGAGTGTCTGGAGCATCACACCTTGTTCTCGGATGATACGTTGGCAGCAGTTTTGCAGTGATGTTAGCAGAGTAATCTTTGCATGGTGTGCTTCAGCAGGTGCATGCTGGGGACCATGAGAAACTCGCTTTGTCCAGCAGTTCTGATTTCACACACGCTAAGCGTCAACTGGTAAAAATCATCTCTGCAGGCTACTTGTTAAGGCTGTAATGTGTGAAGCAGCATTGGAGTCAAAGTAGTAAAGCCCGAAGTTACATTGTGATTTGTAGGAATGGAAAATGGCGATGATATTTCCAATGCTCAGTTTGGCCATCTGACCCTTAAGACCATGTTACAGCCATCTCTCTGCCTTTTATTGCTGGATCATTCACGTGAAATTTGTGCAATCCTGTGGGCTGGGTTGGGGCTGTGCTGCTGGGCTGGATGGGGTTGGCTTTGTGTGAAAGCCTCAGCACAACTGCAGCGGTGTCATGCCACGCTCGGAAAATTAAAGCATGTTTGGAGTTGTCTCTAATGGCAGCATAAATCTGCATAATAACAATGGTTTTCTCGTTTTGCCTCCACAGAAATGGAATCGGTTTGGAATTTGCAGAAGCAAGGTAAGGATATTGGAAGGAATTGCTCTGTCCTGCTCTGTCTGTTGGGACGGGTGTTGAGAGTGGGTTGTCTCTGTGTCCGGAGATGCCCAAGTTTGGTTCTTCAGCGCTTGCTGTTTGTAGTCTGAGTTTATCTGTGTTTTGGATTGCTAAAAGTCGGGACAGTAAGCTTTACCATAATGGTGGGGTGTTCACAGAGGAGCAGAGTCTCTAAAAGAGAAATAAAACCAGTGTCAAATTAGATTTAATGAGTCTTCCTTATGTGTGTGGAATAGTTGTTTTCTCTTTCTGGTGTTGGGTGTGACACCCAAGAATAAGTTTTAAATTTAAAGTGTATCCCCACACTTCACCTGTGAAGATGTTCTGTGTTAGCTTGTGGGAAGAGCAGTAAGTGGAGACTCGAGTGCTTCTTGCAGCGTGGCTGCCCAGAGGTGTAACGTGGGGAGCAGGCACTGCTCTGTTAGGGTCAGCCAGGGCTCCTGAGTGCGTTTGCAGGAGGTGGGTGTCACTGGGGGTCCTAAGGAAAAGTTTGTTAACGGCTGAGTACCTTGCAGATCTCTTGTGAATGTCTTAAGCCACAGACCCTGAAAGTCGCTTGTTGAAAACTTAGGACTTTTGCTTTCTTTCCAGATCCCAAAAGGATAATCACTTACGATGAAGCCATGGATCGCCCGGATCAATGAAGGTAGCAAGACGAGACTGCCTGTTATAACCTTTCTGCAGCATTTGTGCTGTTCATGGGGGACAAAAGGCTTTTATGCTCCTTCTAAATCTTCAGTGCAGCAGAGGAACCGTAACTAGAATCACAGGATAATATATACAAATATATATATAGTTATTTAAAAATGGCAACTGAAAGTAATTAGACTTCTTAAGGAATCTGAAAATTTATTTCAACGAGACTACACACGTGATTATTTAATCTCCGGTACTGAATAGATTTTTTTCGTTTTTTTTGTTTTTGTTTAAAGAGTGAATGCAAGTGATAAACGAATACAGACTCAATTTACAAGCCCGGTTCTAAAGTTTCTGCTGTCGTCTACATGGGCAACAGCAACCCACTGGAGAGGCATTTCCACTTGACAAGGTTTCTGTTTCTTGTTCTGTGACTGTAGTGATACACTAATCACAGGGAAATCAGGATGATTCACCATCCTTCATCTCCCCTTTCCCTTCCACCTCCCCTATTTGGTTGGGGTTTTTTTTCTGTTTTGTTTTCCATTGAATGCTGGAGAAACGCCTTGAAGTTTGCAGAGTTTCTTTTTTTTTTTCCAGAGAATTATAATCCGCATGTTTTGCCAGGAGTAAAGCAGCCAATCCTATGCTGGGGATATTGTCTTAAAGCATCATTCTTCTGGGGGAAAGATGGTAATACTGCAGTTCTAGGATGCATGGTGAAGTCACACAGTTGACCTGGCTCCGGTTACACGTTGGACTATTGCAACTGAAGAGTTCTTTCATTTTAAAAGACAACATGCAAAAATAAGCAATCTGTTTAGGCATTTAATATGGAAAAAAAACCAACAAAAAACCACTGTTCCCATAGTTTAATGCCATTGTATTGCTGGGAGCAAAAAAAAAAAAAAAAAGTATCTTCTGCTTTCAACTGTAGGTGCTTCATATTCGCTCTGTCTGTCTCCTAACACTAAATGTGCTGGATTTTTTTCCCATTTTTGTTGGAAAACTGAAGAGGAATTGAGTTCCGCTAACTTCCACCCTTCTTGAATTATTTTTTTCTCTTAAAAAAAACCAAAAAAATTCAAAAGAAAAAAAAAAAGAAAAAAAGGAGAAAAAGAAAAAAAAAAAGAAAAATGGGAATTTGAATCCTTTTCAATTTGTCCATAGAATGCCAATGGCTGGGCTTCCCGCACCTGCCCGTTGGAAATGCTCTTTTATATTTTAATGCAGTCTGTGTATTTCCGGGCTCTGCTTCTAATTATCTCTTAATAAAAATATATTTTATTACAAAAATGGAGGACTTAAGAATGAAAATAATAATTTAAAAATAGAAAAAAATAAATCCCAAGGAAAGGAAAGCTTCCTAGCAGTGGTAGAGAAGGCTGAGCAGACTGCAGGCTCCAGCTGTGTAACCCGCTCTGTCCCATTGCAGCTTGTGTAGCGCATCCAAATCATCTTGGGGTTGGGTAGTTTTTTCTAAAAGGTGGAAAGTTCACAGGGTCCAGTGTAAGAGCAAGCAGTGAATGAAGCAAAAATGGGTTTTCTGACCTGCCCAAGCTCTACACGTACCCAATGCTCATCATGGGTGTTTGTGGCTGAATACTGGCTAATATATGTCTGGGCATCAAGGTCAGCAGCAGTTAGTGTCTCCTAAAATTAGACTGGACCCTATGGGGCATTACAGGAAGCAGATAAGCCCAAAACTTTTGCCTACCCCTTGTGCTTAGATTTATCCACTTTTTTCTTTTTCTTTTCTTTTTTTTTGTGTTAACTAGGAGTATGTAGCATGCGGTTTTTTTAATTGTTTTTATTCTTTTAATAAGATTGTTCCTGAATGAGACGCTTAGGTTCATGGTGGGACAATGAAACTTAATTCTGTACCTTTTGTAAGATTGCTAGCTTTCTGCCACGCTTAGTTTTAAAAGTTTGACTATGGATTGCCTACTCCATTTTATGTATAAAATACTATATAGTATAATACTGTAGTGTAATACTATATAGTAATCATGTATTATATCAGTCCAGGTTCAGAAATGTGTGGTTGGCCAGTCGCAAATAGTTCTGTTTCACCTATAAACTGTACCACCTTTACAGGTGTGTGTAACTTTCAGATGTATAACATGTTTACAGATTTGTCTGACATCTAGTCCTCCAACGTTCATATTTTTAATTCTGTTGAGTCTCCCAACTGCTTGCCAAAAGTCGGAATCGCCTCCAGCTCTGAACTGGGAAGATTAAGGTGGAAGAAATGTTCTTTTTTTACTATTTTTATTTTCAAAAAGTTGAAGGCTAATAGCAAAGTTTCCAGTTTGTTTTACTGGCTTTAAGGCTCTGCTGTGTATTTATTTGCCTTGTGTAGTCACTTGTCGCCTTAAGGGCTGGGTTCCATTAAAAAAAAAAAAAAAAAAAAGAAAAAAAAGAAGAAAAAAAAAAACAAACCCAACCCTGTTTTGCTTCCCGGGGATCTGCGCTATCCTGGTACCCCCGCCCCCAGATCCACTCTCGGGGCTGGTGCGATGCAGAAGCTGAACAGCAATAACCCATGCTGAATCTGACCTTGCGCGTTTAGAAAGACCCAAGTCTTGCTGAATATTGGAGGACGCTCATCTTGGCCTAGTCCATCCGTCTTCTAAATAGTGAAAGAAGTGCTGAAAGAAACACTGTTCAGGTGATGGATTGGGTTGGTTTTTCCCCAGTGTTCATCCCTACTGCTTTTCCTCGCTGCGTGTGGCCCCTTGCCGGTGGTACCCATCCAGAAACACCCTCTGCAGCTTCTCTGCTGTATTTCTGACCATCCTCTCTTCAAATGTCTGTCTGACTGTCTCCATGAGCTCCACAGTGTGTGCTCAGTGCTAAGCAGCTAGGAAATCCTCTCTCTGAGCTCCTGTAGCTCCGGCGTGCCGGCACAGGCAGTGTTTCTGGGATAGACTATTGCCTAGAGCCAGGCAGGACCGTGGAAGAAACTTCCTCATGCCGTTGTGTAACTCACCCTGTCGCTATCTGCAGTCCTCCCGAAGTCCTCACACAATTCTTTACTGAGCACTTATTAAAAATATCTTAAGATTTAATCTGTTTTCTGATTATTTTTGTGTAAACTTATAAAAAAAAAAAAAAGAAAAAAAAAAACAAACCCTGAAATTGAGCTGTGACTAATTTAGCACATTTAAATAATGCTAAGGTGTTACTGATAAGTCTCATGTTTTGGGTTTTCTTGTTTTGTTTTTGTTTGACTCAGAGTATTAGTACTGTAGCATAAACCAAATACAGCCCGGGAAGGGGTGTAGCAGCCTTCTCTCCCGGGTCTGCACCCAAGGGTGTCTGTATGTGCATGCGTGCGGGGGGGCAAGGAGCTGGCGGTGCGTGTGCGAGCATCTTGCTCATGTAAGGAGAGCGAGCGTGTATTTATTTGTGCCATTGTTTTCATTACACTGAGTAAAGTTTTAAAACAAAACCCTTAAATATGTGTAGTATCGGAAAGTGGCACTAAGGGTGAAATCATGACCTATTTTTTTATTAGCTATGAAGATACTAATTCAGGTTAAGGCTTCTCTCCCATTTCTGTTCCTGTTGTGGGTCTGACGAGTCCCTTTTCTCTGGTTCCCTTGCTAGGCTTTCTATTTATTGGAATAATGATTCCTGCACGGGCAGGGGCTGTCTCCTTTCTCCTCTGGTCTTTCCCCACCGATCCTCCTCTGCCAGCAGGTCCTGTCGGGTGTCTTGTATGGGGTCTTGTGCAACACAGGCTGGAGTGTGTACCATCGGCCAGATCCAGCACGGGATCTGCTCTCTCTTTGGTGGATCAGGGAGTGTTTCCTCCACTCCAAGGGATGATTTAAAAGCTGCTCCGTGCTCCTGACCCCGGTGATGGTGGTTTGGGGACCTTCAGCCTCTCTACTCCCTCCCACTCCACCTGTCCGGTGGATTGGCAACATGGTGGCTTTCAAGGTTTGGTTGGAGTTTGGTTTTGGTTTAAACCCACCTCGGTTGTTCGTGAAACCTGTTTTCATCGTTAGAGATCTCTCATCTCTTTGACAATGTGGGTAGCTCCAGGGCATGGTTTCTGTCGCTAACTCACTTCAAACCATCGCCCTTTCTGAACTGTAAATCCCGCTGTTTGCCTTTCGTAGCGGCTGTGAAGTTCTTTGAAATGTGGAAAAAAAAAACCCAACCCAATTCTCATTAGGTTGCGAGTATGCCAGCTATTTGGCAGCTGGGAGCGGGTGAACCGCCTAGCTAAATTGAAAGGAAAATCACTTCCTGCTAGGGGGGGGGAAAAAAAGAGTTGGAAGTTGTCCTCTCAGTTGCATGTGTAATTAGCGCTTTTCACCTTCAAGAGAGTGTTACGGTAGCATGACAGCATCCTTTCCAGAAGTGGCCGGTGGGTGACCTCAGGGACATCTGGGAGCGATGGCATTCACAGGCGTGTTTCAGAACTGCTGGTAGTTTTCCTGTGCGTTCAGTTTTTGCTCTTGATTCAGCATTTTCAGTAAATTGCTATGGTGTCCGAAGCTTTCAGGAGTCTTGTCCCTAGAAGATTTTTCTGTACACACGTCCATAGTGATTTGTTTTCCTTACAGAGGCTGTTTACAAGGGAGATGGTTGAGGTCGGGAGGGGAGAGAACAAGGCTACACATAATTTAAAGCTGCTACACATTTTCACACCGGTGCATAAGGCAGGAGGAGGGCTGGGGCTGGAAGAGCTCTAGCGTGGTGGAGTAGCTGAGGAAGCCAGAGTAATTCTAGCTTTGGCCACTGTGAGAGTGAAAAAACCCTAGCGTAAGCAGTTGAGAAGCAGGAACCTGGGCTGGTGCGAAGGAGCAGAAGATCTCAGTCTGCGCTGCCAGCCGTGCTGCCTTCCAGAGATTATAGAGCTTTAGACATTTGCACAATACATGTTACACCACAGGGTAAGGCTGGCTTCCTTGTATCCTGCTCGAGATCCTCAAAAGCGGCATCGCTCAGCAGCGAGACACCAAAGCAGCGGACGTCTGGGGAGGTACAAGAGAGCTCCGCGGTGGCCTTGTGTTCGGGGCATGAGACCCTCAGAGGCGTGCTGCTGGGGTGTCGGGCTGCTCTGTCCTGGGACAGGAGCAAAAGTCATACCTGTGCTTTCGCCAGGGGATGCTGAGCTGTATTTATCTTGACTGTTAATCAGAAAGCTTCGTATAACGTGTCCAGAGCTCTAAAGCCATTTTGTAAGATAGCAGTATCCCTTTTCTACAGCCTTATTAATGAGTAGAGTATCTTTAAAAAGAAGAAAAAAAAAAAAATAGTTCATTTCTTTCTGTGGTATGAAACTTGTGTACTGCGAACATACAAACGTTTAGCAAAAACACAACTTACAGTTTTCTTAAAAAAACAAAAAAAAACCCCAACAAAAAAAACCTGTCTGCTTTCCATATGGTCTTTCCTCAGGTGCTAAATAAGGGTTCCAAAAATGGATACTGCTTTAGGAGTTTCTGCTTTATTCTTAAAATACATATTTTTTTGCTTAGGTGTTGTAAAGATATTTTAACAAGAATGTTTTTTTAATGTAAATAAGATTGTGTCTTTAATTTTTGTTTTATCTCCTTTTTGTCTATATTGAATAGTCTAATTTTCATTTTATCCTTTTGAGAAGGACCCTCTTATGACCTTCCTTGAAGACATTTCATTAAGTGTTGCTGCATTTAAGAATGAATCTACAACTGTTCATTGTCTTGGATTAATGCTGCTGCTGCTATAAGTAACCCTGAAAATCAAGAATGTGTGATGCACTTTTTTTTACATGACCATATAGTTCCTCTGCGGATAGTAGAACCCTCCTGTAACACAGCCACTAACTCTGCGGGTAGCGTAGGAA